CTGGAAGATCTTAAAAGAAAACCCTCCAGATGACAGTTCTTCATCAGAAAATACCACGAGGTGCCGATGATGGCTATGAGGGTAGGTAGCAGAAGGCTGTGTCTCTGTGATAGTAAAGATATCTTTACTTGTGTAGCCAGACTCTGTCTTGAAAGACTTAGAATCACCTGTCAGAAACCTCCAAGTACTTTAATAGAGCCAAAAATTGTGACTGGGACAACAACGTTTCAGGTGAACACAAACACATTACAGCCACTCTGCTGGGGCAGAATCTAAAGTCAGTTTTGTCCTGTATGTGCTCTGTGATGTGGAGAAACTTCTAAACCTCCCATATCTCCATTTCCACATGTATGAGAACTACAGGGTAGATATAAGGCTTAAGAACAAGAAATTAAAGCACATTTCTCTGAGTGCTGTGTATTTTACTTGTTTTGATCATATTCCTTTCTTCTTCACAGATACTAAACTGCTTTGAATATGGATAGTATAACCCAGGTGTAAATTTTCAGAGAAATGCATTGATAATGCTAAATGCCTCATGCTGTTTTGTCTAACAGCACTCTACCTAAATAACCATGCATTTTAAATGTCACATAGAACATCCAGACCCTCTCAAAGCACAGACTGAGCATCACCTATGTAAGCACCACCTCAAATCCTGCTAAAATATAGATTTCCAGGCCTATATAAGATCCAGTGCATTTTAATGTAATTGATATAAACATTTTATCAAGGATTTTTTTTATGGACATGCATTTATTTGTGCACTGTGTGTGTGTGTGTGTGTGTGTGTGTGTGTGTGTGTGTGTGTGTGTGCACACGCACACACGCACGCACATGTGTGTGCATGCATGCACAGGGCACCCCCAGAGGCCAGAGTTGGAGATCAGGATCCTTGGAGTTGGTTGGTCTTATATGCATCTGTGGGCTGCTTGATGCGGATGCTCAGATCCATACCCTGGATCTCTGAAAGTGTTCTGAAGTATGGAGCCATCTTCCTAGGCCCTGAACATTACAGTTTAAATATTACAGTTAAAACTCCCAATTTCATCACATATCACTTTAACAACTATTTTCAAATCAATAATTTAGTGATACTCATACCTACTAGAGTATCACAATTGTTCCACTGTCTATTACTGAGTTTAATAAACATTATTCCATCATAACTATAATTCATTTCTGATGAAACCCAATTCACATCCTAGAGTATAGTAGTTAGATGTCTAGGTCTATCTGGGTACCAATGCCAGCTGTACCCCTAACAACTTTGAGATTGCTAGTTAAGCAGGCCTGAGCTGACAGAAACCAAAGAACATAGATTCCAAGTTCTGCATGCCACAGAATTAGGAAATTCCCCATTGTGACATAGTGACCTTAGATCCCCTGTACCGTGACCTCCAAATGTACAGACACCTTTGTGTTGGTCCAGTGTGAGAGTGGGCCTTGTCCTGGAGCATCTGCAACTCATCATTTCTAGCCCTGCCTTACCTAAGCATCTATGAAATGACTTTATGCAGTCATGATTCCCATTACTTTGCAGGATACAGCCTTTATTCTGAAGAGCAGATGGAACTGTTACCAACAGACTCACTATGCGATCACTCCTCTTCATAAAACATTCTCTAACATAAGTAGAGTGGGAGTGTTTCATTTGTATACAGATGAAGAATCCGAAAAGTTCATTGACTGTCCACATTCCCATGGTGCATCAGTAGTAGAGCTGGCACTCAAATTTAGATTTTTCCATTTGAGACCATTTATAGAGCTTGTTTCCAGATTGCAGAGATAGATAAAGATATGGTTATGGCTGTACCTGTTTATGCATCCAAGGGCATTGCATGCAATGCACAAGATGTGTTCATTTAATAAATATTTGTGAGGAGCTCATGTATGAAGTCTGCAAAAGATGTCAAAAGCTCAGGGATAGAAAGACAGTGTCTCCCTCTTTTCAGGATCTCCTGAAGTAGTGAAAGACGCAGATATGGAAGCAACTATTATAACTTTGTTGGATAAGAACTGTGATTGAGTAAATGATGCTGCAAAGCAGCCTTTGCCTCTCAGCCTCTCTAATCCAGGTCTTGCTGATGCTCAACCATGTTCAAAGAGAGAAGAGGAAGGGGTAGAGATAGCATGTGCAAAGATGGGAACTAGTAAAACTGTGGATAATTCAAAATAAAGAGTCACAGATGTGATGGAATGGGCAAGAGAGAGGTTAAGGACTCACATACGTCTCTAGCATTCTAAGGACAATGGGCATTTCTGGGGTCTAGACCAGCAGTTCTCAACCTAGGGTTTATGACCCCTTTCACAGGGATCACATATCAGCTATCATGCATTTCAGATATTTATGTTATGGTTCATAATAGTAGAAAATTACATATATGAAATAGCAATGAAAATAATTTTATGGTTGGGGTCACTGTGTTAAAGGAGCTGTATTAAATGGTTGCAACCTTTGGAAGGTTGAGAACCATTATTCTAGACTGTACTTTGATCCAGTGAAGAAATGTTAGCTGGAAGGTTGAGGTAGGATTTGAGTTTAGAAGATGTTTTCACAGATAAAGAACTAGACTGAGAGTGAGGTGGAGGCTCAATGGGACAAGATAATTCAATAATCCACAGGAGACACACCAATGGCTGGAATTACTGCCTGCTAATTCATGACACGCAGATTTTTCCTCATTAGGATGGAGTATTATCTCCACAGTGGGAAAGGGAGAATCAAGAACACTCTGGAAGCGATGCAGTAAAGAAAATTACTCCCTTGAAAGAAGAAATGATGGTGGAAAATATTTTTGTCTTCATAGCTTCCAGAAACCATAGCCATGATGAGCTCTGGGGAGCACTGGGTCCCTGTGATCTTAAGGGGGCAAACAGAAATGAATTCATAGGTTAGTTCTGAGTAGAGAAGTTCCACATACACTCCATGCATGTCTTTTTGAAGCCTGTCAGGTGTACAATGTGGAGAGCATAATGTTCTTCTCACTCCCTCCTCCCTTTCTGGGTGGCTTTTCCATCAAACCCCAGGTGTGTATACTTGCTCAGAGGCTAACTTACACTCATGGAGCTTTACCTGAACCTCCCAAAGACACATGACCAAAATGTACACTGATGATAAGTACCTCGGGCATCTCAGCATTATGCAATTTAATCCACTTTACCCCAGGGAAACCTCTCAAAGTACCCATCCCATCTGCATGAAGGATTGGGGGTTTGGGGATGGTACCATTTACCTAAACAGCAGTACTTTGGCCTGTGGTACACTGCCCTGATCAGCACACAGGTTCTAAGTTGATATTTAAGAATCATGACCAAGCTGGTGCTGGCCCTAGAGTTACCTAACTCTGTGACAAGTAGATTTCAAGCAAAGGAAGCTAAACAACAGGCATGAGGACATGAGATGGCTCAGTGGTAAAGAGCACTTATTGCTCTTGCAGAATACCCAGGTTTGAATCCCAGTGCCCACATCCCTATAACCATCTGTAACTCCAGTATTAGGGACTATTATGCCCTCTTATGCCCTCATTTGGCACCAAGCATGTGCTTGGTGTACATAAATACATGCAGGCAAAATAGTTATACACATAAAATAAGTCAATCTCAAAAATTAATTAAAAAGATGCTGTGAGTTATTTGAAGAATTGTAGATAGGAGAACTGAAGGTAAAATGCAATCAAGGAATAGGTATCAAATGTGATTACAGTGGATTTTGAACTAAATCTCTCATACCTGGTTTACTCACAACCTAATTAAGAAGAGCTATGCTTTAATTACCAAATATACATAAGTACAGAGTTCTTAAAACACAGTGGCAGCAGCTGTACAGAGGGTATTAGAAGATAATACATAAGTACAGAGTTCTTAAAACACAGTGGCAGCAGCTGTACAGAGGTTATCAGAGGATTCAGGATAAATTTCTAACCTTCAATAAACATTGAAATCTAAGTTTCAAGATGTGCTACACTCTCAGCTTCAATTTCCTTATCTATATATAAACTGGAATAGTTATGAAGTGGGATTATGCTGAGGAGTTAGGGAATGATAGACTGACTTGAAACATTTTACAAAATGTCAGCATACATAAGCCACAGATAAATATAAAGTGACATTCACTACAGGCAGAGTATCTTTTCTGTAAAATATTTGGGGCCAGAAATCCTTTACATTTTGGAAATATTTTTACAGTACTTTCATGAACCAGTACTTGAACATCCTCAGTCAGAAAGCCCCAAATTCTAACACTCCACGTGCATCAAAGTTCAGAATCTGAAGCATGTAACATAACCATGTCAGGGATGCTCAACTTGTACATGGCCAAAATCTTTCTTTTAAGGATCTGTGTGTACATTCTATTGTGTGTATGTGTGCATTTCTGTGAGTGTGTGAGATTATCACAGTGCAAGTGTCTGATATGTATGTGGAGGTCAGAGGAACTCAGGTGTCAGTCTTCACCCTCTACCTTGCTTGAGACAGCATCTTTGTGTTTCATGGCTGCATCTGCCACAGTAGCTGGCCTGAATGCTTTTGGGGATGTTCCCGTCTCCACATTCATCTCCCCATAGGGATGGATGATAGACATGAACTCCCACACCTGGGTTTACATGGGCTCTGGGGACTTAAACGAGGGTCCTTGTGGTTGCACACAAGCATTTTATGCACTGATCCATCTCTTGGAGCACTACCTCTTCATACTCTTGATTATGAGTAAGTAAAAACAATAAGCGCATTTGGACTATCGACTTACATCAACAACTCAGGGGATTTTCCACAGTTAGCTGGAATATTTATGTCTTTGAGAAAGTCATTCAGAATGAGCAAACTTTCTTCCTCAGGGCCGTTTTTTCTTTCCTGTTCCAGCTCTTTGGTTTCTGATGGGCATTTTGCTGCTCAATTTATTTGGACACTATAATCTTTCTTTATTATCTCACTTTGCTCAATGAACTGCAGTAATTTTATTTGCATTTCCAATGCAGACTGTGATCATGAAGAATAAGATGTGAGTTATACTGTGTAATAGGGTAAAAATGGTACAGGATTGCTTTAATCTTCCTTACCCTCAATTTCTTCTTAGGTTAAATGAGATCTTTGGTCTGTATCTCACCACTGTTGTGAGGATCAAACGAAAGAGCAGCAATAAAGTACACGATAAAGCTTAAGGTTCTGCAAAAGGTAAGGGCTTTATTTCATTGCTGTTGTGCAGAAATGAGGAATCTGAAGGTGAAAACGAGCATGCACCAGCTATAAGTGCTAGCCCCTGCTGAAGGGGACTGCTGATGAGCATGCTATGTCATCTGAAAGTGATTCTTTCTATCTAAAGGGCAGCAGAAATGTTTCTTTAACAATCCATGCCAGTGAAAGGGCCATGGGGCTGATGATTCATCTCTGGGACATAAGGGACAAAAGGCCCACACAAGTCTGATCTGGTTTGGATTGTGCATATTTAACTTCAAGTTCTATAAAGTAGACAGAGTTGTTGAGGAGGATTTGTAATTTGTAAGACCAAGCATTATCTGCCAATAAATAAATAAATAAATAAATAAATAAATAAACAAATAAATAAGGTAGGTTTTCCTAGAAAACAGAGACATGATGAAAAGGGAAATCCAAGAGAGACTGGGCACCCCTGGAGTCTATAAAATCTTTCTTCTGAGACATGTGACTCTATCTCCACCTGAGTACTTTACACAGTATGACTGCCATAGTTAGGGTTTTATTGCTGTTAAAAGGCACCATGACCACAGCAACTCCAATAAAGGAGAACATTTCATTGGGGCTGGCTTACAGTTCAGAGTTTAGGCCATTAGTGTTGTGGTTGCAAACATGGTGGCATTCAGCCAGACATGGTGTTGGAGAGATAGCTGAGAGTTCTACATCTGGATTCACAGACAGCAGAAAGAGACAGTGAGTCACTAAGCCTTGCTTGAGCTTCTGAAACCTCAAAGCCACTCCCCAGCGATACAATTCCTCCAACAAGGCACACTTACTCCTACAAGGCTACACCTCCAATAGTGCCACTCCCTATGAGTCTATATGGGCCACTTTCATCTAAACCACCACAATGACCTTTAAAAATATGTGATTATTTGGACTTGAGACATGGCTTTGTGGTTAAGAGAGCTTATTGTTTTTTGCAGAGAATGCTAGTGGGACCCTAGTGGGATGCAGTGGGACCCAACCCACATCAGGCAGCACACAACTTCCTATAACTTCAGTTCCTGGTGACCCAGAACCCTCTTCTGCCTCCATGACCTGCACATGTTTACATACCATCTTCCTCTCTGCACACATATAGGTAAATAAAGTAAGATTAAAATCTTTAAGATCTTGCATATACTTATTATAAACCCTACTGATACAAAATATGTGGAAACCTATATTTAATGATTGCTATTAACAATAGCCAATTTATGGGGTTAGTTTACATACCTATCAACAAAGGACGGGATGAAGAAAACCGTGGTAGAATTAGTTACAGTGGACTTTTCAGTAGCCATAAAGAGCAAAAATATTACATCATTCTTAGGAAAAGGGGTGGAGCTGGAGATCATGATATTAAATGAACAAGCCAGAGTCAGAAAAACCAACATGTGTTTTCTCTCATGTGTGGACTCTCTACCTTAAAATAAAGTAATAATGCATAAAAGTATAGAAGGGACTGCTTGGGCAGAGGAAGGAGACAGAGGAGGAAGAGAGAAAGAAGAAGAAAGGAAGGTTGAATATGGCTGAAGTACATGCTAAAGATGTTTAAAAATGTCATAATGAAACACACTGGTTTGTGCAATGAATATACACTAATGATTTAAAGTTAAATAAAATGTAAGGTATATAGCATGAGTTTTATAAATAATAACACACCATTCTCTATCATTAATTTCCTATAACCGATTTCATTATGTTTTCGTTGAAATCTTATACCTACAGACAACTTATGGTTACTATTAACAACTGTAGTTGTGAAGTGAATATTGGTAGCCATTCAGTTTATGTTAGCAAGTAGAATGACAGAGACAGATGTGAAGATGTCACTCACTCATCAGCAACTTAAGTGACATTTTGCAGAATCTAGTAAAAATAATTTCTGAATAGGGAAATGATAGCTTGTTACTTTTTTGTCATTGGCAGTCCAAAGACTTTAAGTACATTACTTTAAGTTTAATATGCACCATTGGCATTTTCTGCATGAATATCATATGTACATACTACAAAGTCACAAATGAACAATGGTCTGCACCATTTTCTGATTTCTGTGTTATAGCTAATTCTCTTGTGCTCTCTTTAAAGTGACAGCTTGACCCTCCAGATGTGAAGGAAGCAAGAGATGGACAGCATCACATCCACCCACGATTGCTACAATAATCATAGTTTTATGATAATATTAAAAAATATAGTAAAAATTGATGTGTTAAACATCAAATGTATCTTTCTATTCATTTAACTGATAGCACGCTCATATTCCTTAATTTTTAAAATAATGGATGGGTTATCAATCATAATTAAATTAAAAGTCAAATGTCCTGATGTAATGAGAATTGACTGCAACATATGACTGACAGTTAAGTTTCTGGCTGTGTGAAGAGTATAACACGTGTCACAAGATATAGAAATGTGCACAGTGTCTGGATTATGATGTGTTGTTGCTGTCTCATTTATGATTTAATATCTCATGTAACCCAAGTTGGCCTTGAACTTGCTAAGTAGTTAAGTACTTTTAACTCCCTAGTCTCCTGCCTCAATCTCCCAAGTGCTTCAAATCAATTCAGTAAACTGCCTTCACTATCCGTATTCTTTGAATCAGATACCTTCCCCACCACAATCACATTTTTATGCCCTTTATAAACCAGCTGACATCACACTCTTAAGACAGTGTAAAACTTTTAACAGGTGGGCCCTGTCTCTCAGAAGCAGGTCAGTAGGCGTTGTGTCTGAAGGCTATATCCACCCCTGACCTTTCCTCATTCTCTAGTTTTCCTTGTTGGCACTGATGTCTACAGCCTCCATCACTTGCTCCCACCTCCAGGAGCTGCTTTGCCACACCTCCCCTGCCACGATGGATGGGATGGAGCCACCTGAAACCCTGAGCCAAATAAATCCTTCTTCCTTGAGTTGTTTCTGTCAGGTATCATGGTTCTCAGCACCAACAAACTCTGTGGTTTCCCTCTATGCCTTGTCAAATGTATTGGAATAACAGTAGCTTTCTCAAAACTCTGCTATGATAGACTTTGCATGCTCAAATTAGAGCTGATTGAAAGTGATTCGATATTGCACAACTGACAAGTAAATTTACTCCTTTGGGTTTCACCAGAGGTTTTAAATTTTTTATTTGTGTGTGTGTGTGTGTGTGTGTGTGTGTGTGTGTGTGTGTTTTGGGATGCACATGTGTGTATACATTTATGGAAACCAGAAGGAACTTCAGTTGCCATCTGCAACAATACCTCCAACTTGTTTTGAGGCAGGGTTCCCACTGCTTTGAGCTCACCAATTAGGCTAAACTGGCTGGCCAGTGAACCAAAGGTCTTTCTTTCTCTGACTCTCCAGTTATGGAATTAAAAGTTTGAGCCACCTCATCATGTAGTTTTGCATGGGGGTTGGGGATCAATCTTACATCTTCAAGCCTGCAAGGGGGACTCATTAGTGTCTGTAAACTTGACATAATCTAGAACAATCTAGAAAGAGGGGACTTCAATTGAAAAATTGCCTCCACAGATTGGCTTGTGGACATGTATGTGGGCACATTCTTAATTAATGATTGATGTAGGAAGGTCCAACCCACTGTGGCAGGTGCCATCCCTAAGCATGTGGGCCTGGGTTGTGTAAGAAAGCAACTCAGAGGGTGCAAGCATTTCTCCATGATCTCTTCTTCCTCTGCCTTCCCACCCAGAGTTTCTGCCCTAACTTCCCTCAGTGATGGAGTGTGATCTTGGAGTGAGCTGTAGGAAGAAATAATCCCTTTCTTCTCCTAGTTGGTCTTGGTCACTGTTTTAGCATAGCAATAGAAACCAGCCTAACAAGCACTTCATCAGACAAGCACTTCATCAGCTGAGCTTGTGTCCTGAGCTCCTGCAATACATGTTTCTGAGGCCATTAAAAGGAACCCCTTTCAGAGAATTGTCTTAAAACCATGCTTTTGTCCTCATTAACTTTATTTCATTTTCCACATTAGCTACAGCTTAAGAATTCTTCTAGACTGTGGCCCTGTTTAGTCCTTTATTTCTTTTTCTGCAGGCTAGATCTTTCTTCTCCTTAGTCTAAAGCTTTAGTATTTGAAATTGGCCTCATAAATTTATGAAAGGCACCACATGGATGATGACTTTAAATTTCAAATAGGTTTTATTATTATTATTATTGTTTCTTGCCCCTTGAGAGGGGAGTTCAAGAGTAATAGATTAATGTATAAGCAATCCACATGATATTTGACAGATATTTTCTAATATTGTCTTACGGGAATCCAAACAGCATGTACCCTTTATAGTGACAATTCAATCCAATCCTCCATTTAAGTGATAAGAGCACAATAGGTTTGGGGACCAACAGCAGGGACTCAACTATTTCATTGCCACTAGAAAGGATAGCCTGTAGAATCCCAGCCTGAAATAGGGACATGGACAGAGCTTTATGAGCTTTGACCAATGAAGATTTTAATGACAGGGGTCCTTTGTGTATCATCTGTGTCTCTCTCCTTCACTCAGCCAAAGAACTAGAAAGTAATCAGTATCATTCTTGAAATTGCTAAGTGGCTGAAATCAGTGAAGCTACTTGTGTATTGGCAATACTGGTCTAAGTAGCTCTTGCCTAAGAGGGCTTTGTAAATCTTCTTTGACCAATTGAGCAGCTAGGGCCATTTGCTGTTTATTAGCCAGAAGAGAAGCCAAGAGGGAACTGTAGCAAGTTTTTTTTTCCTTTACTTTTCTTTCTTTCTTTCTTTCTTTCTTTCTTTCTTTCTTTCTTTCTTTCTTTTTTTTTTTTTACAGTTCCAATTTTGACTGAAGCTGGCTTAGCACACTAAGCCCAGCCCTGAGAATGAGACTGTCCCTGCATTGCCCGTACTGTGCTTGATGCTGGCACCAGAAAACAGCAAAACTTTACAGACTTAATTGTGCACAAAAGACATGAAAGAGGAAGCAGTGTACCAAGTCCAGTGGCAGTGTGGGAGACCTGTGAGAGTGCCACCTGTAACTCAGGCACCCAAAAAGATGGGAGATGAGGAGGTGGCAAGTACAGAACCCTTAGTACTGTGCTTAGTCTCCTTGGTTCAGTAGGAGCTACTCATGTTGAAGAGGGCTTGGGAAGTTTTGAACTTGAAAAAAACATATTCTGAGGCCACACCTGAGACTAGAAATCTGGAAACATCATTGAATTTGGCACCGAAGGCTCCTTGGTCCCATTATCCTGGGAGCATGCTGTAGCTGACGGCGCATAGAGCTACTCGGTTTACTTTGTTGGTGTCTTTGGATAGAACCATAAACTGGAAAAAAGAAAAGTGATAGGGACATACGCCCATTTCAGAGGACAGGCTCAGAGTACATGGTGTAGGGCCAGTCCAGTGAGGCCCAGCAAGCAGACCCCAGGTTGTCCCCACAGATACATGAGCAGGTAAAAGATGTAGGAGAAAACCTTCCCATCTCTCAGCTCTGTGTCTTGCGGCTGGCTCTCCTCATCTTCCATCTTGCCTGTTTCCCTTCACTTTGAACTGTATCTCCTCTGTGACATCATATGCAGGATTCTAGGCCTTCCTGCATTTCTGGTTCCTTTTTATTTTTTTTTTCTGGGCCTGCTTTGAACACTCTAATTTTTTCCAAAGTAAATGCTTTCTGGTTCCATTTTTTATTGCATTTTTATTTGATGCGGCATTGAAGCCCTGTAGCACTTAAGTTCCTTGAACTGTCCTTTTTCGTTTACTCTTGCTTCTGCACCAGCGGTTTAGGGACACTCCACTTCTGTTAGGCCCACCTTGTCCGTCCTTATCTACATCCCCTTTCAGGTGAGGAAGTCACTGCTAAGCTGACTCATAGAAACCACATGAAAGTGGAAAGAACAGGTCTGAGCAACTGTTGTCATCAAGCAAAGTGACAGACAGCCTCAGGGGCCTGTTTCCTCACCCACAAAAGAATTATCAGGGTGCAGTGGTTGATATAGCTTGTCAGTTTGACAGGATCTAGAGTGACATAGAAGACAAACTTCTGGCATGCCTGTGAGAAAGTTTCTAGATTGGATTAGTTAAAGTGGGAAGATACATGAGCCATGCCATTCCCTAGGCTAAAGTTCCAGACTAAAGATAAAAGAGAAAGCAAACTGACCACAGGCAGTCATTGTTCCTTGCTTCCTGACTGTGGAAGCAATGTGACCAGTTATCCAATGTTCCTGCAGACCACACTGGCCAAAATAAACTCTTTCTTTCCTAAGCTGTTTTGTCGGATATTTGATCAGAAAAATGGGGCAATCTATTTCCACTTTATTTTCCTCTCTGCTGCCTTCACTGAGGCAGAATCTGACCTAGGATTCCCTTGTTCTCTCAGAGATCACAACAGAGCAGACAGGTCTGCAGACTCTGACAATTGACTGTGAACTTCCCCTTTTACTCCATACCCTCCAAAGTGCCTTTGAAGAACTCTGGGGTTCCCCAAAACTCAGAGGGAAAGGGACAGATCTAGTTAATAGCTATATTTCATATATATATGAAGTTATCATTTCATGGAGGTCCCATTGTGGAAGGCAAGACTTCAAAACTGTCTTCCCTTTGCTCCCACATTCACCGCCTCTTAACCATGTTCCTACTCACAGGGTCCTCTCAGCACTGTGGTCAGTATGGAAACATGTTCACTTTTGGAAGACATTGGACTGAAACAAAGAGCCCAATCTTGCTTTGGGGACAATGCCTACAACTTTGGGCTTCCAGACCAATTTTACAAATGCAAGCATGAAGCTGGCCATTTGGATGGACCTAACTGAAGATGGAGTTGTCATTGTTCTATATACCAATCATCTGAAAACCTGTAGCCAACTCTCCATTTTGTTCTATTTCATTTGGGACACTGTGACCTTCTTTCAGTTCGAAAGCTCAAATACCTTCGCATCCTAGGACATTGGAAGTGTTGTCCCCTCTCATGAAGCACTCTCCTCTCATGTCTTCATCAAATGAACATCTATCCCATCATTCAAAGTTCAGCTCAGTTGTTCCTCTCCCAAGAAATACTTCTCTGACCTTTATGGTCTGTGTCGGGCCATTCTGCTCTTCATGACTTTGGTAAATACAGTTCTTATCTGTTGCTCTAATGCTATTGTAACTTTACAGTTGTGAGTCACTTGTCTGGTTATTTGATAAGTATTCAGCTTCCCCCTAGAAAGCAACAAT